CGAATTTTAATTCCCCCCCCCCCCCTCCCCCGCTTAAATTTGGATAACTTCCAGACCTCTGGTACTTTAAACTTGTGAAAGTTCAATATAAATCATATCATAGTAACATTTTTACATATCTATTAAAGGTAATAATGTTGGTGATTATCTATTCTTTTTTGAGTGCTTACAAATAATCAAATAAAATTTTAATGAATTTTTACAGTAAAATTACCAGAAAACTCTGGAATAGGAAGATGGCTTTAAAAGTTTTAAACTAGTTCAATGAACATTAGACAAAGTAATTGTACAGTGTAAATAGTGTTTAGCTAAGCTACTGGTAAAAAAAACAAAACGCTTTAGTATTGCTATAATATCATCTTTCTATTCTATTGTTTTCTGGTTATCACTGTATGAAATATTTAAATTAAGAATTTTCCTTTTTTTCCAAGCACAATAATAACAATTGCATCAAACTGCTAATTGAGATTTTTTATAAAACAATAAAGAGGTTTTTCTGATTTTTAAAATGATGAAAGAAAAATTATTCAAAAAAGAATATATAATCATTTAATGATTTGATGCTTTTATTTCGCATCATGATTCATGAATTTCCTTAGGGGGGGGGGGTGATGCCCCCCTAAGGAAATTCAGTTGGGGAGCGTGGGCCCGGCCAGTCACCCTTGTGATCCGCCCCTTAGACGTTAAGTATCTTTGTATGTAGCAACCCAGTTTTATTCAAATTTATTGTAGTTGATTTTAGTGTCAAAAGTATCTAGTAAAAAGTTGAAAATAAGTATTAACTATTTCAGAAGACATTTGTTCACTATGGGCGAGGTAGTGGTAAGATCAGAAGTTGATGATACATTGGATACTAGAGATCACGCTCAACATAAATTGGAAGTTCTAGAAGAACAAAAAGAACATGTTGATAATGATCAAAAAAAACCTGAGACAAAAATAAATAGTAATTTTGAAGCTTCACTGAACCTTGAAAGCAGGGAAAATGTTTGTAAACCTGGAGTAGTTAAATCCAATAAAAAACCCACTGTGACAGAGCTTATTAAGGATAATAGGGAAAGAGATGATGGCTACTGGGAAGTTTTTACAGTTTCTTCTCCTAAGAATAAGATGATGTTTAACTTATGGTTGGCTGACAACAGATCTTCAGTTATCAGAAGTAATGAGGTTGGATGGATTTGTATTGAACTAGATTCAGATGGCCAATCCAAAGGTATATATTTTACAAACAACTCCCCCCCCCCCCATTTTTAAGTTACATTTCTACTGGCTTGATAGCAAATCTTGGTGTGAAAATGTAACACCCAGAATTTGTTGCATTCTGTAAAATAGTTACATTTTTAGATAATGTTGAGGGTGTTTCTGACTCTGATTCTGATTCTGATTCTGATTCTGATTCTGTATTGGAAGCAACGGAGTACTGGAACAATATGCCTAACAAAAACCAAAAAGGTTTGGTGGAAGTTGCAAAAATGTTTAAAATAATCGTGGGGAAATGGATGGTTCATGTACCTTCTGAAAAAGTAGATGAGCTATGGGGTCTTATAGCCACTGCTATATTTAACGAAGATTTTGGGTCAGCTGTGTTTACTGCCAAGGTATCTCCCAAGAATGATGAGAATGGTGTCGAAGATCCAAACATGCATGTGATTTGTGTCTACACATCAGACTTTACAAATATGCAGGAGGTTGTGAAAGCTGAGAATGTTCTGAGAAGCTTGGGAATAAGAATAGTCTTGAAATACAAACCAGACTTGTATACTTATTTAGGAATTTACAGAGGAAACCCGTACAATATTTGTCCAAGTGTTTACTCTTCTAGAATGAGTTGGAATTCGCAAGCCTCAATTGTTAAGTCCTTCATAACTGGGAAAATTACAAGAACTTTAATTAAAGCAGGAGCAGGTGTCGCAATGAGTCCTCCAGAAATTGCAAATTCACCAAGCTCTACAGAATCAAGGAGCATTGGAAATTCACAGACCTCTATGAATTCACATATTACTGAGACTACAAAGATCACAGAGAATTCATAGACCATGGTGAATTCACAGATTACTAAGTCTTCAAAGAATGACTTTTTCCTATTTTAGATTATTGTAATATTTATCTGTAGTTGCTTATTTTTATAATTTATTTTAAATAAAATTAGAAAAAGAGTTATGATTTCAAATATTCATACAAACATAAAACACAGCAATTTTGTAGTGCACATAGACCAGTTCCACTATTTTTTGCTTTTATTAAATCATTTGCTTTATATAACATCAAATGCAATATGTAAAATTTCTTTAATGTCAGCTTCATTTTCCAAAGTTCTAGGGGGTTCCATTGAACAATGACAAATGAAAAACCTTAATTGTCTAAGAGAATTTAAAAGATTTGAATATTCACTAATAGCGAGTCACGAAAAAACTTATTTTTTTTTATTTTTACTGAAAAACAGGGCTGTTGGCTGTTTTTTTTTACATATTTAATTTCAAATTCTTTAACAATATTCTTTAAATAGTTATATGACAAGAAGCAAATATTTTGACATTTCAATATTCCTTGTTCTTCCTTTTCTTCTTGTGATACATCTTACAATCATATCTACAATAGTTAAAAAAAAAGAATTTTAAAGATATCCTCGCAGTATGCTAAACACTGCCAGTTTTAGAACTATTTATGTTAAGGTGCCTTTCTTGTTTTGCACTAGATAATTGGATGATTCAGCAACTAAATTTGAGCTGAGCTGATTTGTTTTCCTTTCTTCTAAACTCTATATTGTTTGCACATGAGTTATATGACTCAGCAACTCATTTTCTTGAACATTTTACTTAAGGTAAAAAAAATAAAGGGAAGAATGTCTGCTAGCCCCTTTTCTAATGTTGTCTTCATGCACCAACGAAAAAATTGAAAGTGTAAAGCTTAACATCAGAAAGTTTTCCCTTCTAATTTTTCCTGTTTATTGTTTCTAAATTTTGAGGCATCTCCAAACAGTTCTTGTGGAGCAGCAGGTAGGAGAATATCCTCCCAATAAAGTAGACCGTTTTTTTAACAAGAGCATTACTATGAATGTCCATTGTCCACAAAATGAAATTCATTTTCAAAGGTAGGACCAAAGGATGATTCTACTGGTCTAACAGAGGTATCTTACTCCCCTCAGACCATTTGTTTTTACATGTATTCATTCTCTTATTTGTATAAAGCTTCAACGTTTCAAATGTTACAATTAAGAAGCATGGGGGGAGGCCAGTTTTGAAAAAGGGGTATATAGAAATTTTATATTTATTAATAAATATTTTAAAAGGATACTTCATTATTTATTTAAATATAGCAATTTAAGCTTCTAAATCAGTAGAACCTTCTTCTTCGGCATTTTTAAATTCTATAAATTCCGCAAATATTTCAGAATTGGGCGAGAAATCCTGCTCCAGCTGAGAGCTATAAGCCGCTGCCTGTAGCCGAGAACTTTTTAGAGACTGTGCATCCTCTACACCTGCCTCAGCTCTATCCTCAGCTCCTAGACCTCCGTAGGCACCAAAGTCTGGGACTCCACGTCTTCTACAGTCAATCTGAAATAAAAGAATAAAAAAATAATAATAATAATAATAGTAATAAATAATAGTAATAATAATAATAAAAATGATAATAATAATAAAAATAATAAAAATACTAATAGTAACAATAATAATAGTAGTAATAATAATGATGATAATAATAACAACAATTATAATATTAATTATAATAATAATATTCATTATCCTACCCTAACACCCTTGAATAGTAACCAGACTCCCATTGGATGTTTAGGATTACACCAAGGGGGTGTGTCACCAGACAAATTCAGAACTTTTGGGGGGCGGTTCGCCACTTTTATACTGGGAGAGGGTGTGACCGCCTCCGCCTGAGTAGAGGGTGGAGTATCAAGAACTAGCTCAACATCTTCTTGGCTGGGCGGGACATCTTCAGTTGGCTCAGTTTCTAAAGTTGGTGGAAGTGGGGAAACAACTATCTGTGGAAGAATGACGCCATCTTGTCCACCATCTTGTCCGCCATCTTGTCCACCATCTTGTCCGCCATCTTGTTCGCCATCTTGTTCTACAGAATTCACCTGTCGGCCCTCACGAACAGACTGCTGTGCCGGACCAAAATGAAATCTTCTAGAAAATATTTAGATTTACTATAAAACCAAAGAAAGCTTACATATTAGTTTTTTTAGGAATCAATTATAGTAAAATCATGGGGATAAAATATAAAATTCTGATTTTTTTGACTAGACAAGTTGACTCACCTTGAGACTTTTCGGCGTTTGCCTTTTCCTTGTCTTCTGAGCTGCAAGGACGCCAGGTTCTCTAGCTCTTCTCCATCAAGAATTATTCGTCTTTCATCGAGACTTGTTTGTCCTTTTATCAGCTGCTGTCCTTGTCCAACTTCTTGTCCTTGTACAAGTGCGCACAGAACAACTGGAAGAAGAAGACGTAGGATATAGTTTGCAATCATCATCTGAAACAAAATATTTTAGTTAAAATATTGAATGTAATTTCAAGATTGGATTATAGAACAGGGCTTGTGTTTTTATTTGGCTGCGACCAGAGATGGGCATCACTTTTGTGAACGAAAAAAAAATCCTATCGTTCAGAAAATGTACCGAATGATGGTCAGACGACCAGGATCGTTCAGAGAAATGAAAAAACGTCGTTTTAAAAGATATTTTTTAAGAACACATAAAAATATATTTTTTTTATTTAGCGAAGGATGGTTTTAAAAGATTTTGAAAAAAAATATCGTTTTTTTTACTGAATGAACGATTTTTTGGAACAAACTTTTGAAAATCGATATTTTTTACTGAAGGAACTGTTTCGTTGAACATACGATTTTACTGAATGATCGTTTAGTGAGAATATACGATAGTTTTAAAAAACGAATGATTAAAAAAAATGAGCGAAAAGAAAAAAAAGCCGAGCGTGCCAATCTCTATGACATATTTGGACAGCTAGGAACTAGTTATAAATATATCAGGAACTATTTTTATAAAAAAAAGATTGAAAATAAAAATATTTTGCTCCGGGTAAGAATTGGCCGGACTTATTCACTACCTGTTTTTTTACCTCAAGCTAGTTCTGTGAAAAATCAAAATACGTCAAACAGTGAGCACCAAAAAGCTGTGGCGGATAAGGAAGACGTCATTAAAGCAATAATTAAGTATATTTGATATTGTTACAAAGCAAAAGGGATAGTTTACATGAAGCATACACTTACTAACTCGTGTTCACTGGACTATTGAAAGTCATAATTTTAGACTGAAAGTCGTCTTCATATTCCAGAGCTGTCTGGTTCTCACTGTAGTCAAATATTTACCAATACTATTTAGTGTTCTATTTCACTCTAACCTTGTACGTAAAACTAACTAATCAGAATTACATCCTGACTGTATCGTTTTCAGTAACATTTAATCTTTATTCCGTAGAAATTAACTAAAGAACTTTATTAACTTTAATATTTCTAAGAGATAGTCCAACGAAAAATTATAAAAAATAAAATAAAAAGCACTTCGTTTAACTTCATTACTGGCTAATAAGCAGACCCCCTAATTTACTGTGCTAGTGTACATAAACCTTGTTTGTAATTATGTGTTTTTCTTGTAATTACAAATGTCCAATGTAAACTAGAGAGCGCAATATCCTGAAGAAAGCACGAAATTATCAAAGCGCGCTTATCCAGATATATCTGCAGCGCAGTGTTTCATTATTTGACTTGAGTCCTGCTCGTTTATTCAACTCACTGAGGCAGAAAGACAATAGAATTAAAGAGACTGTATTCGGAATTTTAACTGAAAAGTGGAATATCTGATTCACAATTGTACCATATAACGCTTGAATGGCGGATAAAGAACGATCTTCGGCTGGCGGATAAAGAATGACCATTATATTTCTCTGTGAAAATTGACTATTATAAATTGTTTTGTTTTTTTCTAATATTCTAATAATAAAGTTCTTCTCTCATATATATACACTTTTACTAGCTGAGGTGCTTGGCGTTGCCCGTGGATTTAAAAAATGTGTTTTGAAAGAAAATAATTCGATTTTTGAAAAAAATGTTGACATTTCTTAGCTTTTCTTACTCGCGGCCCATTTAATCTAGCTGTTTGGCCAGCTTTAGCTAAAATATAAATATACATATATCCATATATATATATATATATATATATGAGCGAAGAGAGTTATTATATAGATAGTAATATGTTAGATATAAACTGGCCAACCTATGGTTACCTTGCGGGTAACAGGCTAAATGAATTAGTTTTTTTGCTCGATTTTTTTCCAAAAGTTGAATTTTTTTTTCAAAAATAATTTTTTCTTTTAAAATTTTTTTCACGGGAAATCCTGGCACTTCAGCAATTATTATATAAAGGGATAATTTGTCTTCAGAAGCAATTGAAAATATGTTCAAGCTGTAAAACGACGATATCTTCTACAATTTTGATCAGCTGAATGATTAATTAAACCCACTGTACACGCTTTAGTGATGCCTTACACAATGAGCGTGCAGTGTAAGTCAACAATAAAACTTTGGCCCAATAGTCAACGATATACAGTGAAAATCATAAAACTTTGTGATGGGAAGACGACCTTTAGACTTGGGTGATAACTTTAAATAGCTTAACGTATCATGAGACACTGTATTTGTGTCCACAGAGCTGAAAACTTTAGAATAGTCGATATCGAAATCAATGCTTTTTCTCCTCTCCAATTCTAAAGTTTTCAGCTCAAACCATTTCACTTTTCAATTGGTTTTTAAGCTAATAGTTAAACTATATGATTTGTAAAACATCAAATACACTTTAAATATTGCTTCAATGTCGTCTTTCTGTTCCATAGTTTTCTGGTTCTCACAGTATTTCACTATATTTTGGAGAGCACTGTATAGTTTAGAGATTACCTTGTTGTATGATTGTATCACCATGAAATCCCCTCTGAAGTGTGAGAACCACAGAGCACGCATTTTATATAATTCATCAATTATCTATCTATCTAGAAAACTGTCTATCTGTGCGTCTGTTAATCTGGCTGTGTGTAAAAATAAAGACTAAACGGTCTTATGAGCTTTTATAAATCTGACCTGCCTTCTTTGTATCTTCAAAATTGATGGAGATATTAAACATTTGAAATATTTCGTTGTAATGTAATAAATTATAATCTAGACAGATTTTTAATGTCTTCGACAATTTTTTAGGTTAAATATGGTAACCCACATTTTGGAATTCCCAAGACAAGAATTTTTCATAAAGAACTATTGTTCCTGGGAAAAATTGTATTTACGAATGTAAAAATGACATGGGGAACATGTCGACGATATAAACCGTCATCACTTAAAATCCTACGTTTATTATGGGCCGTACAGTATTCTGTTTATCCCAGATCTTCTCTGCAACCTTAATTTAAAAACTCACTTAACAACATTTTTATCAATTCAAGATTGTTTTTTTTCTGATCAAAAAAGGATTTTAAAAAATTCTTTTGGTTAATATCTTTAGTCACAGTAAAAATATTGCATAATGTTACAAAAGCAAACATTTGTCATAGCAAGCAATTTTTAAGTAGGGTTTACATATCAGACCCTTGAAGAGCCTCAGCTTTAAAGTCTAAAAACTTTTTACGTACAGAATGCACTTTTATCTAAAAACTTTGAACACACTGAAGGACTGGAACTTTTATCTAAAAACTTTAAACATACTGAAAGACTGGAACTTTTATCTAAAAACTTTAAACATACTGAAAGACTGGAACTTTTATCTAAAAACTTTAAACATACAGAAAGACTGGAACTTTTATCTAAAAACGTTAAACGTAAAGAAGGACTGGAACTTTTATCTACTGTTACTATTTAAAGATTCCGTCAGTTTAAGATACAAGAATGATCCACACTTTTGAAAGCTCACAGTAATTTGATGAACCGCTGCAAGTGACGGGCAGGGAAAATATAACTCTAATGATATAAGCATAACATAACGCTAATAACGATAATATAACGCTAATAAGCATAACTAATATTGCCATTTTTTAACTAAAAATATAACTACAAAAATTATAATAACTTTTTATTAAAAATATAACTATTTTTATCCAAAAATGTAGCTATTTTCATACCAAATTATTGTAAACTTTTTAACTAATAGAATAACCGTTTATTTCATTTTTTCAGCCAAAAATACAACAATTATTTTTACTAAAAATATAACTATTTTTATCCCTTTTTTTATAAGGATATATTATATATTCATTTTTACAGAATTAGGTTTTAGAGTTTGTCAATGTTCAAGAACATAAATCCTTACTTTTTCGCAGCAACAGACATTTACAATTAGAACCATAATTTATTTGATTTTAACATTCATTTTTAAGAAATAATAGACAAAACTCTTAATAATTTTAGCCGGGTAGCATAAAACCTATCGATTACTGTGAAATATAAGCCTTAGAAAAGGATGAATTTTTGTACACATTTATTATTTTTAATGATGAGCATTAAAAAAACACAAAATGCTCGAAAATATAAACAGAAAATGTTCTATCTAATAAAAAAACTTCACTATTTACGAAGAAATAAGTATCAAACGTAAGGATGCAAACACAATTAAAACTGACATGTTTAGAATAATTTTACAATTAAAAGATTGTAGGCGATTATATCAAAAAAATGAAAACGACTTTTGATTTCATTTTTGATTTATATACATGCTTAAAACATAATTGGTACACAAAAACATGGAAACATAGAAAAGCTATCAATTAAAAAATCTGCTCTTTTATTACTCGTTAACTTGTAAGCTAACAATTATAAAACTTAAATTAAAAGTCGTCTTTATTATATTGGTATATCGCCTACCACCGTAGAAAAGCCAAATATATGAAAAAAGAATATCTTTCGATTTCCTTCTAATATTCTGCCTAAATTGGTTAATCGTAATTCGTAGTATCTATCTTTCTGTTCTTCTGAACGAAAACTATTCAAAAAAACGTTTTGAAAATATTGAAAAATTTTAAAACAGAAAGTGCCCATCCCTAAATAATATAGAGATCAACAAGCTTCATATAAATATGTAGATTATGTTGTTAAAATGTGCCTACGTGTATCTCAAAAACAGTTATGTTGTTAAAATGAGCATACGTGTATCTCAGAAACAAGTGGCATCAAAGACTTTAGCCTGTCTTTGACCCCCACCCACCATCATGCAATATATATATATAAACTATAGTAATCTCTGTTTAATCAAATCTTAGGAAACCATTTACTGATTTGCCTAAAATATAACTGAGTAACTTGTTAGAACCATAGGAATTTTCTTAATTTGGTTTAAAATGTCTGAGTTGAGTTGGTTGAATATTTTCTAGAAAGTTGAATTCCCAGGCATAGATGGGTTCCCAAACAATTTTTTTTAAAAGCTCAAGAAAGAGTTTTATTACACTAACACATCAAAAACTTCAATCTATTTAATATAGTTTGCAGTTTTTCTTTCAACATTTAGGGATTTCATCATTTTTTCAAATTTCAATTTTCAAATTTTTTCAAAGAAAGTAAACTAGTGAGAACCATTAAATTCTGTAACAGAAAGACGACTTTTAGACTTTAATGATAGACACAGCAATTGTGCAGTGTAAACAGGCCTATTGAAGTTACCATTAAAGGGACAGACCGGCTATGTAAGGTAGTTAAACTGAGTATGCAGTGTTTTGGACGAATTCTTTAGGATTCATTTGAAACATAAAACTTTTTAACCCTAGCTCTGCTGGGGTACTTGAAAACCAGGATATGCTGGGGGGGGGGGGCCAATTTGACCCCCCCTCTAAATCCCATGTTTGATGTTCAAATATGACAAATAACACATCATTGGAAAGCTCTTGTGCTCTACTTTTAGAATATGCAAAAGAATTTTTAAATTTGCAAAAATTTAATTTCTTATCGCAAAATCCAGTTATATAGTAAAAATGTTTGCAAAAAAAGATTTGTGCAAAAAATAAAAAATTATACATTTTTTAAAAGCCCTTGACCATGCCATTTTAAATTAGCAAAAATTTTTGCAAAATTTTAAATAACCTGATTTTTATTCAAGAAAAACTAAAAATGTGCAAATTTCCTTTAATAGGTTGTTTGCAATAAATTTGCAATTTTTTTTCGCAAAACTTGTGCAATTTGTTTCCTTATGTAAAAGGCTTTCCAAAAAGCTAAATTTTATCAAAATCTGACAAGTGGAAGTGGGTCAAAACAAAGATTTAGTTTGTTACAGGAAAAAGCAGTCTTTCAGGCAGTGTGCCTGAGGACTCAAATTCCTCTAATTTCCGATTCTCACCGTATTTTACAATTCTATTAAGAACGATAATAAGAACTACAAATTAGATTGCTCCCAGGAACTGGAGGACAAAGTGATTGAAGTACAAAATACGAGGATTGAATTGTTGTATTACATAATTCTTGAATGCCATGGCATGAGCGATTGATACATATTAATCTAGTTTCCCCGAATATACAGGCAAATAGAATATTTCCTTAATGTCTTGGTGCTTTAGAATGTATCAGAAGTTAGAATTGAAATTGTGCAGTTTTTAATCATTATTCCTTTGATTGAAAAGAATAACAATGATTTGAATTTCGTAGTCGAAGTCATACCAGTGGTGTCGCATACATTTTACCTTCTCTCTTTGTCTAGTTTGCAACGGCCTTGATGTTTGAAAATTTCTCAGATTCAAAAATTGATTTGTACATTTTTTGAATATTTCCCCATTGCCCTTTCATATTTTACACGAGAAGCAATGATGAAGATATTGCCGTTTTAAATGAGAAGCAATGATGAAGCTATTACCGTGTACATGAGAAGCAATGATGTAGATATTGCCGTTTTACATGAGAAGCAATGATGAAGATATTGCCATTTACATGAGAAGCAATGATGAAGATATTGCCGTTTTACATGAGAAGCAATGATGATGTTGCCGTTTTACATGAGAAGCAATGATGATGTTGCCGTTTTACATGAGAAGCAATGATGAAGATGCTTACGTTTTACCTGAGAAGCAATGATGAAGATATTGCAGTTTAATATGAGAAGCAATGATGAAGACATTGCCGTTTTACATGAGAAGCAATGATGAAGATATTGCCGTTTTACATGAGAAGCAATGATGAAGATATTGCCGTTTTTTATTCATCTTCTACATTGTCTCTGCGGCATACATATGCACAAGTAACTTTAATAGAAAACCCGAATAAGAGATTTATCAATTTTTGAATAAAAATTCCAGGATATATCATTCACAAATGAAAAGAATACCTATTTAAATTTTTTATTCTTAAAACAAAGAGTCCCAATTGAATTTACCGAAAAGAAAATTGACCATTAAAAAAATTGCAACACTTGAAAAAATATCGTACATAATAAACTGGATAATTTTTATTTATAGAGATCAACAAGCTTCATATAAATATGTAGAAAAATATCAATTTGATCTGTAGAAAAATGAAACATTATAATTACATAAAACAATTCAAGTGCACAATGTTACAGGGATGTTTATTTTTCATAATTAAATCAAAGATTTTTGAGGATTCAGGGGGGGGGGTAAATTTGACACCAAAACGCAAGTTTATTTTTCATTCTTTTTGATAGTTTTTATCCAAAACATCATCATTGTTTTCCTAAAACTTTTCAATTTTTCTCAATTCAGAGAATGAAACCTTTAAAAAAATGTGTATAACTTTTAGAGGAAAAATATGATTTTCTAAGGGGGGAGGGGAGGGGGGCTAGAACATAAAAAGTTTAAATGCAAGGAAAATGTTTTTGACGTAAAATTTTTTCCCGAATGTTTACAGTTCATCTCTGACTGATGATCTGATGTAGAAGGATTTTAGAATATTCAACCTCTCCTCAATATTGGCCTAAATATTATCATAATTATTAACATTATCATAATAATATACGTTTTCTGCTTATCGTAATTATCATAATTATCATTATTATTATTATTATTATTATTATCATTATTATCAATAATAACATTATTATCATTATGATAACTATCACTGTTATCATTATGATTAAATTAAGATTATTATAATTAGTATCATTTTTAGCATTATTGTCATGATGATTACTATCATTTTAATCAATAATAACATTATTATCATTAATATCATTAATATCATTATTATCATTATTATCATTATAATAATTATTAACATTATTATAATTATTATCATTATTATCATTATTAATTATCATTATTATCATTAATATCATTATTATCATTATTATATTAAGTTCATTTGAATTTAGAAAAAAAACATTGAAAAGTTTTGAGAGACGACATTTTAAATCGTCTTTGATCGAAACAGCATTTGTAAGTTAATCTCTGTAAACTCCTCAATCTTAAAACTGCAAGTAGCTAGTCGTAACGAAAGTATGCACACGTTGCATTCTGATTATTATTGCCTTCGTTCGATTCCCTTGTTATACCAGACTTATGTAAAAACTTGTACAGGATGTCTCAATAAGCATGGGGACTAAGAGACAGCTTGCAAATCTTCTTCGATGATTTGCATTTGATGACAAAAGTGCATCAAATGATTGAAAGTTCTTTGAACTATTGAAAATTTGGTCTGTATTTTTTGTATCTTCAAAGTTTGAAAAATTTTGTTGGTTTTGATAAATTCGAATTTGGACAAATATCTCAATATTGTCAATTTTGAAGATGCAAATATGGGGAACAGACGATTCAGAAGCCGTCTCATAATTCTCATGTTTCAGGGAACACTGTTTAACATTACAAATTATAATGCGAATGTTTTATTTCAAGTTTTAGATTGATAATATTACAGCAGTCTAAAAGTGTCTAGCAATAATGCTAGTTTTCTAGAGAGAAAATTAAATTTTTTTTATTTTATATGTATATTCAATATTCAGTTAAAATGTACAATTATATCACCTTTTTGTCTTTATTAAGTTTTCCAGTCAGTAATTTGTTTAATCTTTTCTCTTCTTTCGGCAGGAAATCTTGATCAGAAACCAGTTTACGCATTATCTAAATAGAAACCGTTTACGCATTATCTAAATAGAAACCAGTTTACGCAATATTTAAATAAAAACCAGTTTACGCATTATCTATATAGAAACCAGTTTACGCATTATCTAATTAGAAACCAGTTTACGCATTATCTAAATAGAAACCAGCTTACGCATTATCTAAATAGAAACCAGTTTACGCAATATTTAAATAAAAACCAGTTTACGCATTATCTCAATAGAAACCAGTTTACGCATTATCTAAAAAGAAACAAGTTTACGCAATATCTAAATAGAAACCAGTTTACGCATTGTCTAAATAGAAACCAGTTTACGCATTATCTAAACAGAAACCAGTTTACGCATTATCTAAATAGAAACCAGTTTACGCAATACTGAATAGAAACCAGTTATCTAATTGGGGAAAGCTTTTTAAGATTTAGTAGTTTTAGTATTTCAGAAGACACACGAATTTTTTTTGAATATATTTAAAAATTGGTCGAAGTGTCTTTCTAATCATTCTTTAAATAACGATTCAGACTATCGATCGTTATTCTATCAAAATAAATGTTTTCTATAATTTTGTAAAAAAAACGAAAATTTTTAATTATTATGAAAGACATTGGCGAGATCTTTTAGAACCTTCAAAAGCAAAATATGGGTAAAAACGATATATTGCTCTTATTGGGGATAGTTAAAATACCTTTATATAAGTCTGTGCTCTCTCTAAATCAGGAGACTCGAAATCAGTAGCACCTATCTCAGCAGATCTAGGTTTAGAGAACATCGTTAGTACAGTACAATCATTACGGTTCAATAAAGTATAGTGCAGTTTATTACAGTACGGTACAGTACAGTACAGTACAGTACAGTACAGTACAGTACAGTACAGTACAGTACAGTACAGTACAGTACAGTACAGTACAGTACGGTGCAGTACAATACAGTACAGTACGGTATGGTACAGTACAGTATAGTACAGTTAAGTATAGTACAGTTAAGTACAGTACAGTAAAGTACAGTGGTACAGAGAGAACAATACACTATTAGAAGACATTGAAGAGAAAAAAGTTTTGTAATACATTGATTCTTTATAATAGTTATTTAAAAAGATTTCTTGTTGACACAAATAAAGTAAGACTTTTTAAAAAATGTTAAGACTTTCAATTGAATGAATTTATCTTATATCTTAATATCAATTAATGTTTAATTTCTTACTTGATTATTTTTTCTTTTTCAGAAGGAGAAGCCTTCACAAAATTGTCTAAAAAACATATTATTATTTTAGATTTAAATAATTATAAAAAAAATGTTAGTTAAGTCTTGGGGTTTAGGTTATTCATTTTTATTATTTCAAGAGTTTGGCGTTCGGTAAATTCCTCTTGGAGTTCATACGGCAAAAAATAAAGAATTCGATATATTTTCTGCCAAATTTTTAAATAATCTGTACAAAATCAAACTTTTAGTTGGAATAAATTATCTGAAATCACACTCGAAACCTACGCACAATTTATGTGAGGGGGTCGGAGGGAGGGAGGGTTATAGAATTAATTTTTTTTCGAGAATCGGGATACAAGGGCATATGAAATTTTATACGGTGTGAATCAGAGTAGACAATTAAGCTAATAAGATCCGAAATAAGATGTATATTGTATCCGGATGCAAAACCGGATCCGGATCCTGGTCCAATAATTACCTGCAAATATATCGTACTGTTCAATACAGCCCTGAAGCGGCAATCGGACTCCTGATTCAGATAGATTCTTAGATAGAAATAAAGATAGATAGAATTTAGATATATAGATTTATATGATATAGCTAGATAGATATAAAAATTAACAGATATACAGTTATATATAAATAGACGGATATACAATCTGATATTTAGAGAGATAGATTTATATTATATAGCTAGATAGATTAACAGATATACAGTTATATATAAATAGACGGATATACAATCTGATATTTAGAGAGATATATTTATATTATATAGCTAGATAGATTAACAGATATACAGTTATATATAAATAGACGGATATACAATCTGATATTTAGAGAGATAGACCAAGTAACCTACTTACGGATAAAACAAACCATTTCGTCATTTTTTTCAAAAGAAAATTTAATTTTTATATTTTTATAATATATAATTAAAAATCTTTGAATCCCTGATTTATTTTTAATAAAGTTTTTCAGATTTTCTGCCGTAAAGTCGTCTTTAAATCTATGCTGGTCTATACTGCCTGAAACAAAAAGAAACATATTCATATTTTACCTGAAGAAACAAATATAGAAAAATATATGTAAACGAATGGAAGGTGTCTCATGCTATAAATTCAGAAGATATAATTAACAACTCAACATTAGATCTAAGTCAATTCTAAGTTGAATTTACAAGAATACCTAAAGATAATGATAAAGAATGGATTATAAATCAATTAATTTCGTTTTGATAACTGTTAATTTTCATTTGTTGTTTCTCTGCATAAGTTACTTGCGCATTTTTTGCTTCAGAAGCTATGGAGAAAGCTATCAAAATTAAAACACTTTTTGTTAACACGAAAAAGACGTTTTATGTTCCATATTTTTAATCAGATTTAGGTTTCAAGATTACGATTGTGAATCAGGCAAATCCCTCTTTAAATCGAGGGTCAATTAAAAGTTACACCTATAAAGGGGAAATTTTAAAAATGACAGATGCAAAATATATTAAAATTGATCTAATTTGTATGAGTTTGCTGAATACCTTCTTGATTGTTTTTAACAAACAGTATTACTGTGGGATAATCATCTTTAGTTATTTGAAATCTTTTACCCAGCTCACCATTCTCTAAATAACAATAACAATAAAAAAATAACAATAATAACAATAACAATAGTAACAATAACAACAATAACAATAACAACAGTAACAACAATAACAACAATAACAACAATAACAACAACAATAACAACAAAAACAATAAAAACAATAACAATAATAAAAACAATTAAAACAATAAAAAACATAATAACCATAAAACAATAACAATAAAAATAAAAACATTAAAAACAACTGCAACAACAACCACAACAAAAACAACAACAACAACAACCAAAATAATAATAACAAAAATATTTTTTTAAAACAATAGAATGACAATAACAAAAACAAAAAAAATATGTAAACATTTCTCGACAATCGGTAAATTATTCCCTTAAACTCTTCTCAATAACAATAACAATGAAAATAACAAGAATTACAAATAAAAATTGCATGACAATTACGAAAACAATGAATTTTATCAACCATAAGATGATATTAACATCTAATGAAAGGTTCTTAGTTTTTTAAGGCTTTCACCGTTAACGGCAAGTTTCCTAGGCCTTCCCCTCCTGGCTGAAGGAAGGATGCAGGGGTGTATATTTTTAAGAATAAGTAAATGATGATATATTCTTAAAACAAAGAGTCCCAATTGAATTTACCGAAAAGAAAATTGACCATTAAAAAAATTGCAACACTTGAAAAAATATCGTACATAATAAA